TCTAAAGTTTGAATTGTATCCCTTGCAATTCTTTCAGCTCTATCTAAAATCGATCCACCAACCAGAGCAGGAGCAATCACCGTATGACAAATATTTTCTTTGTGCATAGTTTCAACCACCGGATAACTCTTGATGTTTCCATTTACTCTCCTCACAACTATAGCTGCAAGTTCCTTATCAAACGATGCCCATTTCTCTGCATACAACGGATTTTGAAAATATCCTAAAGATTGTAGCGCTTTGTCTATATCATCACTAGAATTTATCGCATAATTACCACGACCATCATAAGCCATTGTTTTAGATTTGAGCATGAATGGATACCCGAATTTGTCAATTGCAACATTTAATTGATCTTTTGTTTGGATTTCAATAAAGTCCACAACTGGAATATTGTTTTTGAAAAGATGTGTTTTTTGTGAAAATTTATCTTGAATAAGTTTGATGGTGGCTGGTGAGGGGTGGATAACGGTGTTTTTTTCTTTAGCTAATTTTTCCAAAATTTCAACGTTAACGTGTTCGATTTCGATGGTTAGTATATCTACAGACTTGGCAAGTTGCTGAATTTTATCAGGATCTCTGAAGTCACCTTCGATATGTGATTTTGTTGCTTGAAGTTGTTTTGCAGGTGCATCTAAAGGTTTATCAAGAATAATAACATCTATGTTAAGTCTTGATGCAGCTTCCACAAGCATTCTCCCTAATTGCCCTCCTCCCAAAATTCCAATTGTTCTTGGATCCATGATTGATTGAAAAGAAATTGATTTGGCGCATTAAATCGGTGCGACCCTCTTTCGCCTTTTTTGTTTATTGTAATGTTTATCATTATTTAAAGTTTTTATCAAAGTAATTTAGTTTAGTCAGTCAGTCATCCATGTATACTAATAACAACAGTAATAGTGGTGGTAGACCATATAGGAAAGAAGATGCATCGCGAGATAAACAAAAAATTGAACTTGCAGAATTTTCAATTGAAGATTTCAGACCTGAAGTTTGTATGAACTCGATAATCTATTTATATTTTTTTTTTAAAAAAATTTAGATTTAATTCCTATCGACTTGTTAACTTTCTCAAAATCACGAAAATATAGTTATTCAAAAGGCTTTGAGTAATGTCAGTGAAAAGGGGGTTAGAGGATTTTTGGATACTCTTCGTGAATCAAGAGAACTAGCAGCCGGAGATTTACAGAAGAATGTTTATAAAAATTATAACGAATTTGTGATAATATCTAAAGAAATATCAAATATCCTTTCTAATAAGCAACCAAATAATTAAATGCATATATGTATGAATAATGAAATCTTTGACTTAATTAATGATAATCTACAGCTAGAAAGTGATATGTTTGTTTTACGGGGACTTTTAAATGAGCTAAGAAATATTAGCGACAATTTGAGAGATGATAGTACAGAGTCAGTCAATCTTGGACCTGGTATTTATTTATCAATATTTTTATATGCAAATGTTGTATTTAAGAGAGAAAATTTTAATCGCTTGATAATTAAAGTTGCACCAGTGGCATCTGAACCTATTGTGTCTAGAGGAAGGCAACCGACAAGGAATAATGCAACAGATATACAGTCAATCTGGAAAGCACAAATTCAACTTTTATGGGATCATGTAGAAGGAGCACAGGTTCCTATTATTATTATAATATTATATTTTTTTTATAATTTCAGAAATCAAAAAAATAATTAAAAAAACCAATTATCAGAAACTTGTACCATTGGTACCAGGACGACATATTGTTCGAGAATTTTCGAATTTTGTAGAAATCAATGCGAGTACAAATAAACCTAAACAAGCAGTCCACATGTTT